ATGGACTGTGAGAAAGGCTGAGTTGGTGCATTCTTGTAGCAGTACGACTCAACCGACGGATCATCGCCATCTTGATGTCGACATGATATCTAAGGCCGTCAAACATTTGGTACGTGCCCAATCAAATCTGAGTGTTCTAACTGTGCAGGCCGAGTTGAAAGATAAGTTTAATATGCAAGTTACTTACAAGAAATCTTGGTATGGGAAACAAAGAGCATTGGAGAAGTTGCATGGAAATTGGGAAGAATCCTACGATTTTTTGCAAACATTCTTGCGGGTGGTCAAGAGAAAAATGCCAACATCGGTGATTGATTGGGTAAGAGTTCCTTCGACTCAACCAGGTCATTCGATATTTCAGCGAGTATTCTGGGCTTATGGACCTTGTATAGATTGGATTCAAGAATTGTCCAGACGTCATGGTTGTTGATGAAACATTTCTTACTAGGAAGTATAAAGGAGTGCTACTCATGGCGAGCTCATTTGATGGCCGGAAGAAGATTTTTCCAATTGCATTTGCCATAGTGGAGAGCGAGAATACTGAGAGTTGGCCATGGTTCATAAGTCACGTTTAGGGTTTGACTGATCGAAATGATGTATGCATCATCTCAGATAGACATGCAGGACTCTATGAAGCCATGAATAACATCGGAAGAGGTTGGGAGTGGAGGTGGTGCATGCGACACTATGCAAGCAATTTGCAAAGGAAGACTAAAAGCAGAACTATGTATAAGCAACTATTTCGAGTCGGTAAGCCTTCTTCATTTAATTTTGGTATTTATTTCATGTAATTTTGTCATGAATTTATCTAACCCGTGTGGTTGTTTATTTTGTTAGCCGGAGAAAAACGCTTGGAGAAGTTCGATCGTCAAGTTGAGCAATTTAAGAAGGTGGCCACTGATAGAAATATTTCATGTGATAACTGGGTGGACCAACATCAGATTCGTTGGAGTTTAGCACATCCTAACTACAATGGTGGGCGTCGTTGGTCTATCCTGACATCCAACATGGCAGAAAGCACCAATGGTGTTTTCAAAGGTATTCGTGCACTTCCTATAGCTTCTCTTGTGCAACATACCTATTGGCGATTGGTGGAGAAATTAGATAAGTACAGGTTGGAGACAGGAGCAGAAATTAGAAGTGGTTCTTCACAGTACTCCACCAAGTGCGAAGAGCTGATGAAGCCGTGGTCACAAAAGGTAGTTGGACATTCCGTGATAGCTCTTGATCAACGTCAAGGCATCTCTGTAATTCAGACTCCTCCCAACAATTTCAACATGACGGGGTCAAACACACTCACAGTGCACTTTGACGACCACAACCGGGCGGGATTTTGCACCTGTGGGAAATTTCAAGGAAATAAAATTCCTTGCTCTCATGCCATTGCAGCTTGCAACCGAATGGGGGCTAATTCGTATAGGTTTGTAAACGATGTCTACAAGCTCGAAACATTGTTGGCTTGTTATGGGACAAGTTTCGCACCTCTTGGTGAACCTAAGGGTTGGAAGAAGCATAATGGTCCTATTCTCCATCCTAATGTGCACATGATTAGGAAGCCTGAGGAGGCCACGAGTTACAAGGATTCACAACGAGATGGATTGGCCAAGGGAGGGTGCATCACACCAAGTGTGTAGCAACTGTAACCAAGCGGGACATAATGCATCAACCTGCGGTGGCCAAGCTAGTGGGAGTGGGAGCAACCGAAGAGGGAGTGGTGGCCAACGAAGTGCGAGAGGTGGTAGAAGAGGAAGTAGAGGTAATAGACGTGGCTGGGAAGTTTGTTCAAATGTAGCAGTTGTTGTATTTCTTTCGATTTACCATGTAGAAGTTGTTGTTGTTTGAAGTTGTTGTAGTTTGGTATGTAGTTGTTATGGTTTTTATCGTTAATAAAATAATAACAAAAAAATAAAAATAATAGTCCACATAATAGTCTCAAGGAAGTACATAATAATAACAATCCAAAAATAATAGTCTACATAATAGTCTCACTGACGACCACCACGACGACCACCATGCTCCACCACTAGATGGCCGCCAGTACCACTCCTCGCAGGCACCCTGTTATGTGGAGGTCTACCATCATACTCTTGGGGCTGATCTCCCTCGACACCACCATCCTGATCCTGTGTACCGTACTTATCATCCTGCTGAGACTGAATCTGCTCCTCAGGTACACCGCCACCATGCTGCTGAGACTGAAGATGCTGCTCATAATTCCACATCGTCCCCAAAGAAGTACCGGATCGACCGGAGCTGGATCAATTGTCGCTGGCGGTAGTCTCATCGAATAAGGGTCAATAAGTCTAGGAACTGCAAAAGCAAAGAAACAAAAACATCAATTAAAAAAAAATGCTAAACATTAATTAATTAAAAAAAAACCGCCGCCGGAGAGAACCTCACCGCGAAAACGACCGCCTCCACGACCTCGCCGGCCTCTCCCCCTGCCTCTGCCAGCGAGAGCTTTGTCTTCGTCGGACGATATATCCGAGGAGTGGAAGGACTGCGGCGACGGCTCCTCTCTCTGCAGCGGCGGCGCCTGGGTCAGCGGCGGCAACGCCTAGGACAGCGGCGTCGGCACCTGTGGTCAGCGGCGGCGACGACTGTGCTTGGCGGTGCTATGGTTCTGAAGGGTGAGGGGGGAAGGAAGAAGAAGATAGAAAGGGAATCCCGCGGCGCCTTTTTAAAATAGGTTTTAGAAGGTGAAGGCGGGGGCGCTGGAGACTAAGGCGCCACGCCTCAGACAGGTTCCAAATTTTCAAAAAGGCGTCTCCACCTCAGTCTCTACACAAAAACACAATATCTGTGTCAATACTTTTTAATCCACCATATTGATGATAAATTAAAAAAAAACAATATTTGTTTCATTTATCCAACGAAACACGATAAATTATCGAGATTTTTCCAATAATAGCACCTTTAAAGAAAAATTACAATACTAGCACCCTTCCAAAAATAATTACAAAACTAGCACCTATTTTAATGGAACGCACCTTAGAGGTGCGTTTTATAAATGAAACGCAGCCTAAGAATGCGTTTCCAACATAAATCGCACCCCTAAGATGCGATTTATGCGATAAAACGCAACCCCAAGATGCGTTCAATATTTGGTGGCCAGCGACCTTCCAGTTCACACGATTGAGGTGCGATCCAACGGGCTGGAGCATAGCCACGTCAGCAATCCGCGCGGTGGATTGTAGATCGCACTGGCGAGGTGCGATTTCTCGCCTGGAAAAGTGGAGCGTCAGTTTCCAGAGCGTTCAACGCCTCGGGACGCGGAGATGGCCCGAATCCTAACATTGCACCCCTCGTGATGATTACGGCATCTGACTATGAGCCTTTTGGTGTTGGAATGAGTTGTGTCCCATTCAAAATGCCGAGTCATTGCTTCAGTCTCAAGGGCGTGCCGCACATCCTTCTTCGAGCCAAATTGTTGGCCCTTCGTAAACCCAATGAGTGGGCCCCATATTGGGACCTCTGGCGGCTCCATGTCGCTGTCGACCATCCAATTGTCGTCTGGAATGTGATTGTAGTAGGGGACTGGTACACGGTCAGGAGCCACATCATGATCATTATCTGAATCTGAATCTGGTGCTGAATCATCAGCACCTTCAAGAGGGTCTGAGCTGTCTGCACTGACGTTGTTCTCTCCTTCTTCATCAGAGGGGTCGCTGACTGGTGCTGGTGTGGCAGCCTCCATCTGATCTTGCTCATGAAAGGCACCTTCATCAGCTCCATAATGGTAGTTGTGAAAACTACCGCTGCCTGACAGGAAGTTGTACTGGGCTTGGTTGGGGATGTCCGGTTGAACTTCTTCTTCATATGACGAGAAAGATTGATGATGGCCTACACCTTGCCCTCCATCTTGGTACTGAAAATAGGAATGAGGATCATGGTAACTTTGGTAGGGATGATCGTCATATAATTCACCTCCACCATGGATACCAGATGTTTGACCGTGTCCAGAATGACCTCCAACACCAACGGCTGGCTCGGTGTAAACGAACATCTCGGCTTTGGCCAATTTGTTCGACCTCAAGAATTCGAGCATGGAATCTACGTCATCTTGAGTGGTTATGGTATATTCCTCATGCCACAATGACCCAGTTGCTCTGTTTGGGTATCGGTACACCATACGATCTACTCTTCTCGTGCCATCCATGCAAGTAACGTCAGTGCATATTTGATGGAGGTCTTCAAGCTTCGGTCTGGTACCGACCGTTATTTTCTGAAAATTGCCACCGACGTAGGTGGCCCCCTTTCCGGTCTCTTCCGTGTAACCATTCCACCTTAACCCAAGCGTTAACTGACGGAATGCCATCTGCACACAAACAAACCGTAGTTTAGTTAATATCATAAAAATCACAAATCACAAATAACAATAAAAAGTAACACAAAATAAACTTACGAGTTAATGTTAATGGCATAAAAAGTAACACAAAATAAACTTATGAGTTAATGTTAATGGCAAAAACACTAGATAAATATAGACATACAACAGAAAAATGAAAGAGAGAAGGAGAGGTGTGAAGAGTAGAGGTTTTCCGGCAAGTCTTATATAGGGGAAAAAATGACGAAAACCGCACCTCTAGGGTGCGGTTTTAGTCTGCCATGCAGGCCTACGTCCATAATTCTCTGCATGGCTGTGTCGGGTGTCGGAAAATTATTGACACGTAAACCGCACTTGGGGGGTGCGGTCTACATGCCCAAACCGCACCGTAGAGATGCGGTTTGTTCTTGGAGGAATAAACCGCATCACTAAGGTGCAGTTTGTGTAGGTCAGGCCTAAACCGCACCTCGGCCATGCATTTTATGTAGGCCAGACCTGAAAACGCATGGCCAAAGTGCGTTTTAGCCCACCAGAATGGAACGCATCCTCCAGGTGCGGTCAATAAAAAAGGGTGCTAGTTTTGTAAATATTTTTGGAAGGGTGCTAGTTTTATAATTTTTTTTTTAAAGGTGCTATTTCTGGAAAAAACTCTAAATTTTCGTGAAAGTTATAGCAAAATACCGTGATAGTTTGGGGACATATGGAATTTGCCACTGTTGCTGACTTGCTGTCTTGCTGAGCGAGTTCTGCTGTGTTGTCCGCCTCACTAAGCTCCGGTCAGGCTCAGGCGTGCATTCTTCTACTGAGATAACGTCGGAAAGTATTCATCACTGGTGGAGGTTCCGTGATGAGAAGGCGTGACTTCCCCAAATTTGAAGCACTAAAATACCGCTCTTCGTAAACCCTAATTGATGGCGGAAGCAAGGGAGGAAGAAAATCGGCAAGCTTCTGGGGCTCTAGCAATGGCTGCAGCATGCAAACCTGACAAAGATATATCCAGGTGGCTTATCGATTTCCTTGTTCGGCAACCGATTCCAGTGCATCTTCTCGAACAAGTCATCTCCAAATTGGGCGCCTCAGTCGTCGAGAGCGATTGGCGATTGAAGAAGATGCTGACTCTCAAGCAGCTCCAGTCAGGAATCTCAAAGGGTTCCGTGTCTGAGGAGATGCTCGACTCGTTGGAGTTGGTAGAGCAATTGGACAGGGAAAGTGGAAACCCTATCCCGGAAACGATCAAAGCAGCTTACTGTGCGGTGGCATTGGAGTGCACTGCTAGAGGAACCTACTTCGACACGGTTCAGAGCATTTGGAGAGGAAGAATAGAGAATCTGGAGAAATTGGGGAGGACCGAGTTGCTTACCGACGAGCTGAAGAAGGTTAGGGATGATGTTGAGGCTGCTGTCTGGGATCCAAATGTTTTCAACAGAGTGTTGGAATCGGCTAAGGGGGAAAACGCTTCGAGTCTGGTTGAGGCTTACTTAGAAGAGGCAATGGCTGTGAATGGGCCTTCATTTCTGGAAATTGCCGCTAGAAGGGAGAGGGAGCTGAAAGCGAAGGCGCAATGCAGTGGCGAGGATAGAGAGGGCTTTCCCTGTGAGGTTGATGACGTGCAGGACTCAGGTGCTGAAGATGCTATGGATACTGAAGTAGCGCAAGTTCCTGATAGTGGCGGACAACCAATCTGCGGAGCACCGTCTGCTGGTAAGCATTTTACTGTTGCTAATCAAAGCTGCAATTTGATGCACTTCATATCTGAGAACTGAGATCGCGTAAATAGTCGTACTTGTTAGTTTGCGTCTGTTCATTGTTAGTTCTGTAGAGGTGGCTAGAAGGCGTGAATTCATATGTTACATAAACCAGGAACAGATCACCAATGCTACTTATGAGAAGCAATCAAATGTGTTCTTTCTTTCTTCTATCTAGGGTTCTGTTTACCTCTTCTATTTAGGATTCTGTTTACCTTAAGGAGATTAGACGAACTTGTTTAGGTGTTTTCATTGTTGTTGTTCCTATGGATTTGTGAATCTTGTATGTTCTCCCATCTTGTTTATTGCAGATGGAAAGGTGAAGCGTAGAGTGAAACGTGCTGTTCCACGCAGACATTCAAGAAGACAAGGTAGGTTAGTTTCGGGTAACCCTACTAGAAAATATGATACCTTGTCTACTCCTGAAGTCAAGCGAGTACAAGATGCACTTCGATCCAGTACCACTGAGTTACAATCCGTGGTGACTGATCCACTGCCCGATGCTCTGCATCGCTCCCGGTTATTAATTGATGAAGCACCGCAAAACATAGAGATATCTGCCGGAAACCAGGGAGTTCCTGAATCCCACAGCAACAATTCAAATCCTGATGTTCCATTAGACAAAGATGGTGCAGAACATGTTGAAGGACCCACACCCTCCATTGATGAGAGTACCAAAGAACTTTCCTCCAGGCATCAGAATGTTTCAAAACCAAGTTTAATGGTTAGGAATAAAACAGCTTGTACCTATGAGGTAAGTGGTGTCTTCAAAGCGTTCATTGAACTGACTTCTTATCATTTTAGGTCACTACTATGTGTATAAAAAATTTCCCTGTTTGTAGTGGGATGATTCAATTGATGGCTCTCCTGAAGAAACATCTAACGCTGATGAAAGAATTGTGCTAAGAAGCCCAAAGAGAGGGGTTGTGCTTCCATTACCAAAGGACGATGGCGCCAACAATTTGCCTAGGAGGAAAAAGAAGAGATGGAGTGTCGAGGAGGAATATGCCCTGAGGGAGGGTGTCAATCAGTATGATTCATTCGACGTTTCTTCTTTCCTTTTTTTTTTCTTTCTTGCTCATTAGACTCTTGACGATTGAGTTAATTTGATATCTGCTTCAATTGCGCTACAGGTTTGGGAGGGGCCGCTGGAAAGTCATTTTGAACTCGAGACGAGAAGTATTTGTTGAGAGAAACGAGGTGATGTGCCTCCTAATTTGCTTCTGGATTCCAGGGCTTCGGAAACATAGTAATGTTTTGCTTTTGAATCTACCTTTGCAGGTTGATCTGAAGGACAAATGGAGAAACATGACGGCACATGAATGAGTTGATGCTAAAGCCTGCTTGAAGAAAGGCCTCACTTAGCAGTTTTTGTGTGTATAGTACTTTGCAGTGGAACTCTTGTGCATAGTCTTGTGAATGTCGTTTGCTTGGCTTCGAACTCTTTTAGTTGAACAGACGACTGACAAGTGATCAAAGTAGGCTAACTTTGTCATGCTACTACTACTAGTCTATGTTACTTCTGCCAGCAAGGCTACATTCTGCTGGAAAATCCTTGAAACTCATCATTTGTACGTATATTATTATTGATATTATTCTACCAAGTTCTCATTTTACCAATATCAGAAACCAAATTTTCTGTAGTCATCGAAAGCACCATGATTTGACTGTCATCATTCTGCTTAGGGTAATGATGATGAACTCTGATCCATCCGCTAATTTCTTCGAATCTGATCGGGAGTTGAAAACTCTGCAATTTGAATGAATCATGATCAAGAATTTTCTCATCACCAAGAAGGTTACGGCAGCCTCATCAGTCAGCATTTACCTCAAGACTGCTAACCACAGCTACTATTTCAAACTTTCCAGTGATCAATTTTCTCCACAGGGTAATCATTTTGGCAGCATGTAACGAATCTTCCTTCTTCCATTCATGTCACTCTCTCTTATCTTTGACCATTCAGCCTCTGTTTTCTTGCAGCAGACTTGGTAGACTGATAATCGACTGTTCGAGCCGTGTAATAATATCCAGTTTTCACCATGCCTATATATACGGGTCTGTCAGGAGCTCAACTTGCAATATACAAACACACACAAGAATTGATACTTGCATATCGTTCTAAACATGGCCATGGCTAATGCTAACGTTGTCAAGGCAGCAGTGGGTTCCCTGCTACTAGCCTGCAGCATGATCATCATAGCAGTCCCCTGCGCGAAAGCAGAGATCTCGTGCCTGCAGATAACCATGCAGCTGACTCCCTGCATCCCCTATGGCGTGCTTGGAGGGAGCGTGCCACCGGCCTGCTGCCAAGGGGTCAAGGATTCGATGGCGCTGGTGAAGACGACAGAGGATCTTAGGGCGAAATGCCAGTGCGTTAAGGATGGTGCTGCTGGAATCCCTGGTATCAACTATACCAGGGTCAATGAACTCCCTAGCATATGTCACGTCACTGTGCCTTACGTCGTTAGCCCCGAAACCGACTGCTCTAAGTAACTAAACTCCCTCCCTCCCTCCTTTCCCTTGATTGAGTTCCAGTACTCGTCGTCGTCGAGGTTTACGATTTCGAGGTTCTTGAGATTCTAATCATGGGAAGCTTTGTTTTGTTGCGTGCAGGTTAACTTTGCCGAAGTAGGGGGGAGCCACCATTACCAGGCAGCTGAGGAGACTGGCAGTAGGGTTATATAATGGGGTGCGATTAATATTATGTAGAAGCCAATAATGGAGGGGGGAACAAAGAAAGTGATTGACAAGTTCCCCTGTGGAATGTTTATGAACTACGCTGAGTAGTTCTTTTGTCTGGCTAAGTAGTGATAGAAAGAATATGAATGGTCTACGACTACCATTGAAGAATGATGTAGCAGCAAGATATGTTATGTAAGCATTACTTTTCTAAAGTAAAAATAAAAAGCCCTATATACTTATGTTACGACGAGTAAAGACTCCGATCAATGACCGGATTATGAAGATTTCATATGAGATTAAAGTCAGCTTGTAATTTTATTCAATAACGATAGAGTTCATTCGATCTTGTTGGGCTGTTGTTTGCCGGATTTGACGCATATTGACCGGTTCTACGTAACTCCACCTGTGTTTGCAAATGTGTACTCTTATATTTGTAAACCAATCATCGAGGAATCTATAAAATCTTCAGACTTGTTCCATCTGTCATTAGGGTTGCTGCCTGGTTTGTTAGTTTGTAATTTGTATGTTGCTAGTCTTCTGTTTCTGATCGCTTTCACTTTTGGTTTTAGTGCACTGACAGGACTGACTTCGTTGAATTTAATCCAATAATATCGATCCAAGTTAAATTGTTTCCCTTCAACATGCTAGCCTGAGTGGAGTTCGTAGTTCATCAAGGAAAAAATATTGAATGGAAAGGAAAAATGCTCTCTACTTTCCCCTTCTTCCCCATCTCCCCTCTCCTACACTCGGAATTCCAGAACCCTAATCTTCTTCACCCCGGAAACTCTCCAGCTGCCGCCTACGGAGCCTTCAATGTCAACTCTCAGTCTTACTGCAACATATTAAAAAACGCTGCAGAAAATCGCCATGAAGTGAAGGGTAAGATACGCCGCTTTAAAGAGGGGCCTATCCACTCCTCCTCAAGATCCAATTGGAGAAGAGATAGCTCAGTAGGGAAGCTCAGAAAAGCGGCTAATCTGCCGCCCAAACCACCTGAGAAGACAACTACCAACAACCAGGGGAGTAAATACACAGAGACTGAAGCAGATTCAGGAAGTAAAGTTTGGATAGCTGGAGAAGGTAACCTTTATGACGCATCCAGAGAGACAGAGGAAGACCTCTGCGAGACAAAGAGAATTAACTGCCATGCAGCACCTGAGGCAGAGACAAGAGGCCCTATCAAGCCAATCATTAGTAGCACAACTAACCAATCCCTGAGTCACAGGGATAAAAAAGAGAATCACAAGGGAAGTAAATGCGCTGAACAAATCTGGGGCCAGATCTCGGGAAGACAAGGCCAGGAAGGAAGGAAGAGCAAGACGGAGGAATGTAGCCCGGCTGATAGGCTTGGCCTTAAATGGCATTTACAAGGTAAGACGGAAGAGGAGTGCATCGGAGAAGGGAGCAGGTCAGTGGAATTAATGCTACCGGAGATGATCTCTCCTCAACCACCCAAGAACCCATCCACCTATAAAAGAAACGCCCTCCTGACGAACCTAGCACCTTCAAACTCATCGAAACCCCTTTGGAAATTAATCCACAAAATAACCACCAGATCTTTGTCCAGCCAACCCTCTAGAGAGATGGAGCTGAGCCAGAGAAGCCTTAGAGGAGAGAAAAGCCACCTGGTCCTTAATGTGCGACCCACTGTGATCGGAGCTAGGGGCAGCGGCATGTCCATGCTGCTGGGGAAGTGGATTACCGACGCCTCTATCAACCTATCGAAGGCAAAAAATGCGGCAGCAAGCAAGTGGAGAGCCTACGGTGAAGTCCAAGCCACCAAAGAAGGAGAGAATTTATTCGTATACTCATTCCAGTCGGCAAACCAGAGGGATGCGGTCTGGGATGCCCGACCCTGGAATCTCGGCAATACTCTTGTCGCTCTGAAGAAATGGGACGGCGAACAGAAACCAGACCCCGCAGACATTCCGACGGTCTCCTTGTGGGTTCAAATGCACGACCTACCACAATCCCTCAAAGACGAAGAAGCTGTACAGGCGGTGGCGGCGTTCATCTTCCCTCAATTCCTCTGTATTGATCATTCCAACTTCGACTTCAGAGGTTGGCTGAAGTTCATAAGGGTGAAGGTGGAGGTCAACATCGACGAGCCCATCCCGATTGGCTTCGAGTACCCAGTCGGAGATAGATCGACATGGGTGAGCTTCAAATATGAACGAATTATGGATCTATGCTACTTCTGTGGAAGGTTAGGCCACCTTATACACAACTGCAGAGAAAGGGAAGAAAATAGATTGAAAGGGCTGTGCACCGATCCGTCGGAGGTGTACACAGATGCGCTCAGGGCAGGCCACGACTCTCCGGCCAATACTCCTTCGGCTTCCTTCAGAGAGAAACTGGCGACCTCACGCCGCCTGACAAGGCAGAGTCCTGGCAACCCGCAGATCCGCAGTGCCCGAGGGGAATCTTCCCAGATCACTCTGACGGGACACCCGATGCAAGGACCTTTTCCCTACCCCCAAGGGTACGGCTTTGTGCCAGGTGCAGGACGAGGGACAGACTGGGTGTTCAGAGGAGAAAAAGGAAACCCGACAAATCCAGTCCAGACAGCCTTTCTGGAGATCGAGATGGAGGCAACGGCGAAGGCGATGCAGCGTGGCGTTGACTTAGGAGGAGAAGGAGGGCAGGAGAAGCTAGCGGGCCTCTTCGAAATGGGCCAGTCGCTCACCCTTGGAAGCCCATCCTTTACCTCGGATGTGGCCATCTCCCCAACTGGGGTCAGCCAACAAGGATCTGGGCCAGCCCAAAACCAAGCCCAGGCAGCCACAATTGAGACCATCACCATCCCCAGCGAGGAAGAGCCCAGCAGACCGGAAAAGAAAAGGAAACCAGAACACCGGGCTAGCTACTCCAGCCCACCCCAGCAGATTGACCCAATCACTAATCTTTCCTTCGATTCTCTGTCATTTGTTCCAGGGGAGAACAGGAAGATATACCAAAGAAGAAAGCATGTTACAAGGAGGAAGAGCCTGGCGGAGATTACAGCTGAAGGGTGCCAGTCCGGAGAAGGTGAATCCAGCACTCCGAGGGCGACGGCGGCGAGCCTTAAGCCGCCTGCACAAGAATGAGGCTAATAAGCTGGAACTGTAGGGGGTTTGGCCAGCCCCTTACAAGGAGTTACTGCGGCAGACTCTGCCGTCAATTCGGCCCTTCAGTGCTCTTCTTGATGGAAACCAGAAAAGACAATGGATTTATGGAGGAAAGGAAGAGAGCAATGAAGTTTTTTCACTCGGATTATGTTAGTCCAGCATTAGAAGGAAGCGGGTTAGCATTATGGTGGAAGGAAGATGTGGAAATCAGTGTGTTAGAGTCATGTAAGTCCTTCATGGACACCAGTATCACCAAAAATGATGTCAAGTTCTTTTGTACTTTTGTGCATGCTCCTACTTCGGCAGGAGAAAGGAGTGCCCTTTGGGAGCGACTTACGCATCTCAGGGATTGTCGGGATGAGCAGTGGCTTGTAGTAGGCGATTTGAATGTGGTTGCCTTCCCATATGAAAAACAGGGCCGGTGCCCTCTTAGAAATGAAAACGTTAGACCTTTCAAGTACTTCATTGAGTCAAATGCTCTAATTGATCTTGGTTTCAATGGGCAAACCTTCACATGGAGTAATAAGCAGCAGGGTAATGACCTCATCAGGGAGAGGCTGGATCGGGCTCTCTGCTCGACCTCCTGGAGGCTTGCCTTTGAGTCGGCATCGGTGTTCCATGAAGACTTTGTTGAATCAGACCACTGCCCAATCCGGATTGACCTACACCCCAAAGGTAGAATTCATCGGACACCCTTCAGATTTGATAAACGATGGCGAGAAAGTGAAGAGTGTTGTAACATCGTTACCAGAAGATGGGAGGAAGGTGGGAAGGTTGATGATATTTTAAGGAGCTGTCAACATAACCTGGAACAGTGGGCGAAGAATGATAGAAATATCAAGCAAAAGAGAGAGAAGGAAATCCGGAGCAGACTACAATGCCTCCAAGGAGGACATCGTGACCCCTCTGTTATTGGAGAAGAGAAGGCTCTGCAACAATAATTGGAAACCCTGTGGAGTGCGGAAGAAGTTTTCTGGGCACAAAGGTCCCGTATCGCATGGCTACAAGAAGGGGACCAGAATTCTGGGTTCTTCCATGCTAGCACTATAAGAAGGAAAGTTCGGAACCGGATCTTGAAGCTGAGGGGACAGGATGGCAACTGGATCTCGGATCCAGTCGAATTGGGAGCTCATATAAATGGCTTCTATAACAGTCTTTTCAAGAGCAAGGAGGGACATTACAACTCAGCTATTTTAGAAGGCTTCCCTCGGCTGGTCTCGGATGATATGAATATTAAGCTGTGTGCACAGGTGACAAAAGAGGAGGTACGAAGGGCGGTGTTCCAGCTTGGTGCAAATAAAGCCCCTGGCCCGGATGGCTTCCCAGGCCACTTCTTCAGGAATTTCTGGAGCACCACGGGGGATGGCCTCTTCAGTGAGATCTCTGAATTCTTTGCATCCGGGATCTTGCCTTCTGGATGGAATGAAACTTTCATCACTATTATTCCCAAGGTCGACTCCCCCGAGAATATTGGACAGTTCAGGCCAATCAGCTGCTGTAATTTTAGGTACAAGATCATTACTAAGATTCTCTCTAATCGTCTTCATCCATGGTTACCTGAGCTGGTTAATGAGCTTCAGTCGGCATTCACGGGGGGAAGGCTAATCCAAGACAACGTTATAATTGTCCATGAGGTCCTTAACAACTTCAAGAAAAACAAAAAAAAGGAAAACAAAAGACATGATGCTCAAGCTTGATATGAGGAAAGCCTACGACCTGGTTGAATGGGATCTTCTGATCAACCTTCTGCAGGCTTATGGGTTTAATAGCATCTGGTGTAAATGGATAAAAGCATGCATCTCAACTGTGTCGTTCAAACTTCTCATCAATGGCGAACCGTCGGATGATTTTATGCCCTCGAGAGGTATTAGACAAGGTGATCCCATGTCCCCCCTCCTTTTTATCCTAATGTCGAATGCCCTCTCTTTTCTGATCGAAAAAGCAGTCTCGGATGAAAGGATAAGAGGCATTAAGCTGAACAGAACATGCCCCACCCTCTCCCACTGCCTTTTTGCAGATGACACAGTCATCTTTGGGAAAGCTTCTGTTGAGGAAGCCAGGAAAATTCTGGAGATTATCAATGACTATGCCTCGGTCACAGGACAAGAGGTCAACAAAGACAAGTCCTCCATTTTCTTCAGTGCCAATATGACGATCGATGAACAAAACAACATCATTGCTGGGGCTGGTTTCGCACCAAATGGCTCCCATTCCAACTATCTTGGAGTCCCCACAGAATGGGGAAGATCAAAGAAGGAAACCTTCAACTTCCTGGTGCAAAGAATGGAAGGTAAGGGCGAAGCTTGGAAAAGTCTGTTACTCTCCCCTGGTGGAAAGGAAATTCTCTTGAAATCGGTCTTCCAAGCTGTTCCCTCCTATATAATGTGCCTCTTCCTTCTGCCGAAGTCGACCACGAGGAAAATGGACACGATGCTGAAGAACTTCTTCTGGGGTGGATCAATGCAAAAGAAGACGATCCACTGGAGGGCAGGACACATCCTCTACGCCCCAAAATGTGAGGGAGGTCTTGGGTTTAGGCCTTTCCACACCTTCAACCTGGCCCTGCTGGCAAAACAGTCGTGGCGAATCCTGACAAACGAGGAGGCACTTTGGGTTAAAGTCCTAAAGAGCATCTACTTCCCCAACACCAGCTTCCTCAGAGCTAAGAAAGGCGGGAAGGCCTCATGGATCTGGTCCAGCCTCTGCGAAGCAAAATCATGGATGGAGCGGGGTGTTATTCGAGTCATTGGAAATGGTAGGTCCACAAAACTCTTTCAGGACCCTTGGAGAAAAGATAGAATGGGCAGAATGTTGGACTTTGAATGGCCGGACCAGTCCACAGTTGATAACTGGATCGATGGAATCACTAGGGAATGGAAAGTTGACCTCCTCGAAGAATTTCTTAGCCCACAGGATGTAAAGCAGGTTGCGGCCATTCCTATTGGCCCGGATTCACTTCAGGATTACTGGGCATGGAGATTCACGGAACAGGGCACTTTCTCGGTCAAGTCTGCCTTCTTGCACTTTCATCATCTTACCAGGGTCGCCCAAGGACAGCTCTTCCCGCCATCCGATACTACCAGGAGAAACTGGAAATGGTTATGGAGTCTATCCATACCCCCAAAACTCAAGTTCTTTGTGTGGAGGATATCGAAGAATGCGCTCGCGTCCAAAGAGAATATGTTCAACAGGAAGTGCTCTCCCAATAAGGCATGCCCCCTGTGTAACTACCCAGCAGAATCGATCCACCACTGCTTGTTCTCCTGCCCCCATGCAGCAGCAGGTTGGGAACATGAATGGCCGACACTTCCTCCCCCGAGTCCAAATACACCATTCCTGGAGTGGTTGAATGCTCTGACTGCTGGGTACTCAGATTGCTCCATTCAGAAAATCATCTTCCTCCTCTGGCAGACTTGGAAAGCAAGAAACGAAAAAATCTTCAAGAATTCCAGCATCTGGCCACCCGCGACAGTCAACAAGGCTTCCATGGCCCACCACCAGTGGATGTCCTGTCCAAGAAAACCCAAAGGCTCTACCTACCAACCTCAGCCTAACCCACCACCGAATCTCTCTTCACCACCGCCGAATTCTCATGAGTTTGAGATACACTGTGATGGGTCCTTTTTCGACGAACCACAGAAGGCGGCATATGGCGTCGTAGTATCGAACAGCCATGGTCAAGTTTGTGACGGTAAGGCTGAGACCTTGCATTGCTTTTCCCCTCTTGAAGCTGAAGCAAAAGCGCTCCTCGAAGGATCGCGTCTGGCCTCATCCAGCCTCTCCCCATGCCTCGTGTTATCTGATTGTTTGATCCTAGTGAAAGCAGTTAATGACCGTGGCAACCGGACGACAACGTGGCCATGGCGAGCGGCAACATGGATCGGAAGAATCAGACAGTATCTGGAAGGGAACCCGTCGATAAGGATCATGCACTGTAGTCGAAAGAAGAACTCGATGGCGGACTGGGTGGCAAGATCATGTGCAATGAATTCCCTGCCCACTCATTGGTTACAGATTCTTGATGTTGTCTCCCCCCTCCTGTAACTTGTGACCTGTTGCTTCACTTTATTGGAAATGCAATGTCCTCTTGTCAAAAAAAAAAAAAAAAAACATGCTAGCCTAATACGGAATCTACAAATATCTATGACTGCGACTCCTTAACACTTGAGTAGAAATAAATTTAAAGAAATTTTCATTTGAAATGACTATACTTTCAAAGTGTTTATATACAGAGATCATAGGTCCGAAGAAATAAATAATATAATATATGTGTAGATCTTGTTGTTGGTGTAATGCATGTGAATGGGAAAGTTGATATGCTAAGCAAATCATGACAATCAATTTTGTCGCAGTGTCGTTGAGCCGACCATGAAAAATCTTCAAATACGATTAAGGTCCTTGGTGAGTGTCGCACAACAACACATGAACGACGTGATCTTGTTCGAGAATGGGAGGGTCAATTAATTAGATCTCATACATTCGGCTGTTGTTCGCCCGATTTGAACGTATATTGACCGGTTCTTTGTTAGCCTGCAAAAGCAGGCAGTCCTTCACAATGTAATTAACCTTGAGGAAGTGGACAGAGGAAAAACCTTGTCAGAACGCACTTGCTCCATTTGTCGCAAGGATTGTTCGCTGGCCAGTATGTTCGGTTGCAGGTTACGAATCTTTTCTTCCAATATACCAAATGGCTGGAAATCATGCAAGAAGATAATCTATGACCATATCTTCCACACATTTGCATATATAAAGGCCAGGAGGATCGAGCTCTCAGAACATCCTCTCACAGCAGAACTTGCTAGCTAGCCAAATTCAAACACCAATTTCAGAAATGGCGCCCATGACTAACTACCGCAACATCGTCAGCACAGCAATGGGCTCGCTGCTAGTAACCTGCGCCCTGATCGTCGTAGCATCCCCTTACGGCGCCAAAGCAGAGATCTCATGCCAGCAGGTGGCCTCTCAGCTGGCTCCCTGCATCAACCACGTCTTGGTCGGAGGCGGGGTGTCGCCGGTCTGCTGCCAAGGGGTCAAGAAGGCGGCTGCAGATGTGAAAACGTCGGCTGATCTCCGGGCGAGTTGCCAGTGCGTGAAGGACAGTACTGCAAGATTCCCTGGCGTCAACTATGGCAGGGTGAATGAAGTTGCACCCAAATGTGGCACCTTCGTGCCTTACACTGTTAGCCCCAACCTTGATTGCTCCAAGTAAGTAGATTCCTCAACTCTGTTCCCTTGCTATATGGCTAGCTTGGAGAATCACAAGTTTCTTCTATTTGAGATTCTAATTTGGAACATATACATTGTTGTTGCAGATTAACTCTACCTAAGTAGGAGTAGTTTGGCAAGTGAAAGCAGAGCAGAAACGGCACCAGTAACGGGATGGTTTTACGTGGGGTGATTTTATAGCAGAACAGATATGCATGTAGCATTACTTCTAAAATTTGACACAAACATATACTTATGTCCTCGTAATGTCTCTAAAAAGTTCTTGATGGGAGATCATTAGATTCGGATTTTGAGGTCGTACTCTGACGAGTCTAATATTTCAACCACTTAAATTACAGTAAACAGATCTCATCTTCTCCATTTGTAGTAACATGATGTTTGTTTGTGTGATTTATCAAACAATGGAAATTTATCATGCACTGAAGAAAGGATAACGGTTTGACGATTCAATCTAAAGGGACAAACTGTGGCATATGACGTTCAGTCTGTCAAAGGCAACTAAGCATCCCTGAAATATGTTTCATTTCTGCATACGTACGTGCCCTATCAGCTCACGCTATCCAGCTGAGCAAAAAGCCAAACGCACACTCACATCAGTAATATAACTCTTTGAATCTTCAAATCCATTACGACTACGACATGCCGTTGAATCTTCCAGCGGCACGTCTCTGGTAACGTATATGTTCAGTTGATCATAACAGACTCATGTCCTTTGTAATGGGTTTCTTGTTGGTTGCCGCAGACACTAATGCTGCAGAAACGATGTCGATGGCCTCTGGGCAAGTGAACAGCTCGATGCAGCCGAGAAGACCGCCGCGGATAAAAGGGCTGCCTGCCGGTGCATAATCGAAATTGCTGCAGGGATTCCGGGGCTCCATTACGACAGGGTGAATGAGCTTCCTGGGCTGCGGTACTACTACTACTTGCCCCTGAAACCAACTGCTCAAAGTACTGCAGAATGACTAATTGTAGCGTGGGTTTGGTTCTGTTGTCAGACAGGGTAAACTAAGTCCGCATGGTATAAGGATTCGAAAGCAGTGGGAGTAAGCATATGATCTAGTTGTCCACTTCGTAATAAGTTGAATATATTCTGATGTGTTGAAATGCGTAGAATTTAAATGAACGGATCATGATTTATAGAAGATTTGAAAATGTTGTTATTGAGAGAAATGACTGATAGTTCAATCAATTCGACATGTATTTTCGATCTTCGTCCTTCGGACCCACACCCACAGCACCAAGCAACCCATGCTTGATGCTCCCACTGATGTCTTATCTTTAACACAAAGGCGGGACATTTGCACATGCAAGTTGCAAATGAACAAAACACAAGGCAAACAAGTTCTGGATTCTGAAATAGATCTATAGACTAACACACTAACAGACAGAAGATGGGACCATCCCAAATCAATCATGGAAATGAAACACATGACTCAGTTTAAATCAATCATGGAAATGAAACACATGACTCAGTTTAGTCTACAGAGAGATACAAAAAAAGAATCAGAGACAAGTTCATATTAGTAGCATCTCAAATCACCTACTCCTAATTGGGTTATGAGTTATGACCTTTCATCCCCATAACCTCCCTTCTTCCTATCATCATCCTCAATGGATACAAAACAAAATTCCACCATTACAACTGCTACAGACTCGAATAAACAACACCATGAGCTCTCCCCATCGAACCCCAAGAATAAACTAATTTTCGGAATTCGTCCTCCACACAACCAATCAAAATGAATATGAATTTTTTTGACTATGGAAATCGAAAATTTACCCTGTTTGCTAATCGACTGGAGGTCAGTCTATAAACAATGATCTTACCACACAGGCAAAATGCCAGGAGAGGCAGCAACAACAAGTCAGAGAGATAGTCAGCAGCCAAGTCTGCGCTTCCATCAAAATGTAGAGCTACCTTCACTCGCAGATATCGTGGAGCCTTCAGACTTGATGATGTGGTTCAGCTGTATTCCTTTGCTACTGATGTCGAGCCCTTGAAATCGAGCCAGAGAGTCGTTTTGCATAGCATCAGAGAGATGGTGGGAATTGGTTTGATGATGTCGCTGAGAGAAGGGTGATAATTGCATGTTAGGATGGTCAGGCTGCCGAGGCATTGGGAAGAAGTTCGATGGCGTGTAAGACATTTGATGCATTCCCATGTTGAATGATTCGGAGTGACTGGTGGCTTCTCCAGTGGCGACTTTTAGCCTCTCGACTTCCTTCTTCAGTGCGTCATTCAAAGCTGTAAGATATAACCAAGGAAACCATATGATTACAGCCCATCCCTAGTTTTCTATAGTTCTGCAATCATAACCACACAAAAGAGACTTACCATCGCGCAAGTGAGCCTGTTGTTCCATAGCTTGTAATCGAAGCTTAAGCTCTGTGTTTTCTGTACTCAGACCCGATGTGTCCCTCTAAGAATAAAAAGACTGCAAATCAATATTGCAGCAAATGCCAAAAGGACTAGCACAGCTATGCCAGCGAACAATAAAGTAGCAATTTTAACAAGTGGAGACAATAATTATTTCAATAGAAACAGCAGAACACCTTTGATGTTGCATCCTGAATATTTTTAATTCCATACAAGATCTGTATTGAGCTTTAATGATAAGAAGCACAAACCTGGAACAGAGTGAGCTGAGCAGAGAGAGTGGTGGCTTCTGTTTGAAGAGTCTGAACTTTGCGTTCTAGTTCTATTATGTAACGCGCCTTTCTCTCTTTTGAGCGAGCAGCAGATTGTCTGTTTGCAAGTATCCTGTAAATGCACAAGGCCAGGGTTGTTAAGATAGGCACAACAATAGAAAAGGCTGAGATCAATACAAATGTACCAACAAATAACATTTTACTATACCAACTATGATTCTGGTACAGAGGTTTGGATGTGGATCTGAAACACTTAAATTGATAACTTAAACCCCAAGCCTCTAGATCAAATCAGAAAACCAGGGATAACAGTTGACTTCGAACGAATCTGAATTAAGGCATAGATCATGGGTATGCCTGATTGGAGACTATCTCTAATGAAACAAGAAGTTACACATCTCAATTTACCATGGGTACTTAAAGCTTCACATCTACTTCACAGAGGGACCTATGTGGCTCTTAACTGTCACAACTGAGAGGTACTTTCTACCGTTTTCTCCTAGTAAGTATCAACGGCACTTATTGTTAACAGCTTAAAGGTTGAGAGGAAATTCAGGGAAAGCTTTTGAGACTCTATAAGAAAAACGACAAATGAAGCCTCGAGGATAATCTTTGCCAATGATTAAGTAAGGTCATCAATGTTCCTGTGCCATACAGTGAAAAAACAATAGGGAATGCTGAAGCAATGCTTTCTCCAATTTTTATTAACTGAATTCAACATAGTTTCATAAAAAAGAAAAGATATAGAAAGCATAACGAGCTTCTCGCGCGTTGTTCTCATTCTACAAATGTCAGGCTAATCGGTTAAAGTCCTGTGAAATTTCTGCAAGTCTTAAGCTGGGAAATTGATAAACATATTCATAAGGAACTCTGTAATTTCAAGTGATAGGAGCATTCTTTGGTTAGTTACAGAAATACATCTTTACCAAACTTAAGAAGCATTCTTTTGTTAGTTATATGTTGGAAGTACACTAAATTTGCATTAGTATATCGAAATGCCGCCATCAACACCAAGATCAGGCAGATTTCAACATCAGAGTCAAACTTCGAGTACATTTTGCTGGTAATATAGCTTGTAAATCAATCAATCTTTTTAACAAACCACCCAACCCAATACACTACCAGCTGAGATGCAATTGATCTCGGTAGATCCCATCGCACGTCGCTAATGAAACCAACCAAGCTAAATGCTTAATCTATGTAGCTCAGGAAATGAGATCATGGCAGAGGAATCACCATTGTGCCTTAGTTAACTTCTGGCACAAGCTAAATTGACAAGTTTGAAAAAATGAGAAATTTGAACTGTAGAAAATCATAGAAGCAATGAAATGTGCATCGAAATCTACTGCGAATGCGTAGAGATCTAAGTGGGAAATGTCGGATGTGATGTGAATCGATAGCAACAAGAAAAGAGAGAATGAAATTGGGAAGAAGCTGACCTCTTAGCTCGTTTGGGATCAAGGTTCCAGAGCTCAGCCAGCTTATCAGGAGGCATAGCCTTCTTAGCATCCATTATCTCTCCAAACACACCACTGCCGTCCACTGAGTTGCTGTGGCGGTGCTTCGTAATCGACCGGTTCGAAGCTCCTTTCTCACCTCCCCCTCCGTTGCTCTGATCCGTACAATTGCCAACTCCATTGGCACCGCCGCCACTTCCGCCGCCGGTCAGCTTGTCAACGTCAATGTAGGTGGAGAAGAGGTCGTCCTCGGATCCGATCTCGTCGAGGCTACAAGTCGAAGATCCGCCGGCACTGCCCATGCCGCCGCCGCCGCCTCCGGCGGGGTTCATTGGATCGGTGGGGGACAGATCCATCATCATCATGGTCATGTCGTCCGGGAAGCGGAAGCTCATCTCGGAGAGAGCCCTCCGGTGGTGGGGCCCGCTCGCGGGCGGAGCAATAGGACGCTCATTGAAGATTGGGGAGGAATTGGAGTTTGCGGCGGGTGCCGGCGACGGAGGAGGATGGTGGTGACTGCTGGAGGGCGATGGCGGTACATTGGGATTGGATTTGGAGAGTGGATCTGGAGCGTCCATCGTCTAGTGTCTTTCCTTGTCTCTGGGAGTCTCGTGGGGGATGGGAGATAGAGAGAAGAGAGAGAGAGAGAGAGAGAGAGGAACAGAGAGCGAGTATTGGGGGAGATGAGAGAAGACAGAAGAGAGAGTGTTTTGTTCTTCACAAGGATCTGCTAATAAATATTTTTAAATTATCCTCTCCAAATGGATTGCCAATCCATTTGCCATAGCTTAGGGGGTGATTTATTACTTTATTGTTGTTTTTAAGAAGGATGATGGAGCATCTAATTTGGTTTGATTTTTTTTTTGACAAATAATTTGGTTTGATTCAATGAACGAATTTGCACTTAGCACATGATGGATAGTAGAGGAGGAAGTAGGCATCATGATTATGAGATTAGAAATAATGAGAGTAAATATCACTTGTAATTTGAAGAGGGGTTGCCTACAATTTGAGAATTTTGACGTCATAATACTATTTCTTGTTGTTCTTGATTTTTTTTAGTTCGTATTGAGGTTGTTGTCTTCTTCTGATTTTGATTCTCAAATGGTACCATGAAGTTGTCGAAAAGAGTTTCTCCAAAAGTGTCTCTGATCTAGTATTTAATTGAGATATTTTTAGACTTCACTTCCAAACTCATAGTCTAGGTGCATAACTGGCAAGCCCAACCCTTCAGTTTCAGTACTTAACTTGGCCAATTCGTACCTGGTTGAGCATAATGGTTTGTTGGAAGGTTGAGAAGTGGCGGCCCCATGGGTTTGAGTTTGGCAAAACCCGACTCAACCCGACCCATTGCCATCGCTACTCGATGTCATTTTGGTATGCTAGTTTGCTCTTGAATGGGCGACGCAAACCGCCCATTTTCACCCTATAGAGACAGTAGTTCCATCTCTTTTCTTCACGTAATTTTCGTCCTAGACCCGACAGTTTCTCTATTACCTCTTTGGTTTGGTCCATTGGTGAACATTGGCTTTGTAATCTTTGTCTCTTCCGCATCAAAATTCACTCTGGTTCGATACTATACTCAAAATGATGTTATTTAGCTCTCATGTTTAAGGTCGTTTTGAGTTATTTTGTGGTCTCATTGGTTGATATGTCATTGAATACATTCTTAATTCGGTTATCGTAGAGAACATTGTCAAATTAGGGTATTTTAGATGATACAAACATTTTAGGTACAAAAAGGGATCACACGTCTACAAATATATTATAGCAGAGTTGGGGGCAGTTATTCAACATTTCAAATTTGCTGCGCGTAAGTAGGAAGGGTAATTGTGTCTTCACAATCATTATTTATTTTTTATTCATAAGAATTAAAATACATCAATCTCGGAATTTGAACCATGGTCTTTCCAAACAAAGACAACTACCATTACCAATTGCACTAAAGAAATGTTTAGTATCTTTATAAATACTAAAATCTAAAAATCATATGACTTTTCCACTTCTGTTAGCTAGCACACTAACTCTTCCGTAAGTACTTTCTCTGTTATTTGATATTTGAATTTTCATATTTTGATTATTTTAATTTGTATTTAATAATAAATTTAATTTATATCTTATAAATGGAGGATAATTTAATTTTATAATTTCAACCCAAATATCATTGATTCGAATATTACATATTGAATTGCAGTATTGAATGTGTAGAAGTGATGTATAATTCTTAACTTGGTATTAATTTTTAGAACTATAAAAGCAACGATATTGTTATTCAAACTCTAAGTGGCCAGTTCTTTCAAAGTTTTAGTTTGGTTAATCATTAAATCCTAAATCTCTTGATAATATAGCATGATTGGACAAATGAGTGAGTTTAAAAGAACACAATTTCTTGAATACCAATACAGTTTCAATTGTTTAAATCAATTATCTTATAGGTAATTGACCATATGTATCATTCATAGTTACTTAGTTTAATATGAAATAACCGCAGTACAAGACAAATCATGAAAGTCGGGCTGGAGTTTTCATGGACGCATTGATGTGATTATGTGCATTAGCAAGGTCGGTACCACAAGACAGGTTTAATTTTTTTTATTGAGTGAATAAAATTGGCCTTCAACTAAATTTAAAATATGTTGGTTGATAAATAATTTTTTCATTGCATAGAGTATGGATGAAAAATATTAATTTCTTAATAATTTTGTTATTATATTGTGCAAAATAATTTAAGGTTTAGATATTGCTATTTATGGTTTTAGAAAAGGTGTAAAACAGCTCAAACAGGTTAGACCTTAATCAAAGCATTAAACTTCAAACCACTTGCTTGATCGGCTCAACGTCTTAAACCGGTTTCACAACTTTGGTTTTAACCATTAAGATTCCAAGTCACATAAAAATACATTGTAATCAAATGACATTCCGACCAACGGGTCGGACAACAAGCTAGTGTAGAGTTATGTGAAAAATGAGAGATAATGGCCAAGATCAAGGAGATCACGGCCAGGAAGAGAGGGCGTGTAGCTGAGCATTGAGGTCGCGAAGATTGGAGCCATGGGTACGAACTTCAGAAGCAGGCACCGGGGACCAGAGAGTTTCAAAAGCTGACTCGCGGCTCTCATTGTCCATGACCGCAATAAAGATCACAACCGTGACATCTTGGATCGCGACCATGATGTCAGGCCATGAACTTCCCATCCAACAAGGCATAAAAGGCAAACTCTGAGATCGCAGCCTGCTGGCTTCTCCTCCAAAGATCACGTTCGCGATCTTCCCTTGTTGACTCGCTAAAAAACAACTCCTAACAATGGCCAAGTGTAACCAATGAAAGAGACTGCAGTATAGTGGCACAAGTAATAAATATCGAATCTACGGGTCTCTAGAGTTATTATTACTCAGCTTCAGTTCATTATCTAGCAAACCAGATTAATGATTGATTTACTAAACTACTCTACTGACTAAACTAAGGCTAAACTATTAATTACAGGTTGGGAACTCACTTAGGTATAATTCCCTCTAGCTTCTCAATTAGGTCCAAGTTATAATTCCTTTTGGTTTCTTTACTGTTGATTAAATTGTGGAAGATCCGAAAATAGCTTGGAATCTCTTAAGCTGACCAAGCTCTCTTAGACAGAATACCCGATAGGCGACTAGCCTTTACCAGGATAGACTGCTAAGGCAATTCACACAGATCTCCACTACTTGGAATGAATTCCAGTACAAAGCAGCGAATTGACGGACTCTCGTACAATCAATTCACTCCTATCAATAGAAGAAGCTCTATCAACCTAATCAGAGTCTATCTATCATATGTTAAAGCAGAAATCAATAGTATGTGATCAAGATCCAATTGACTCAACAAAACATGCCTCAATATATTATAACTAAGCAATATAGCATCCAAAGATTCAAACAACCAAGATCCTAACACATGGAACTAGGGTTCCTCAAAACCTAAGTGAAGGGAAGTTACTCCATAGAGAAGAGAGAGATTGCAGTATAACTTTCCATATCTTCAATCTTCATGTCCACACTTGTTCCTTTAGCTTCAATGGTGAAGAATCCTCCAAAATAGCTCCAAGAATGGATCTAGATCGCTCTCTCTCTTTGGGTCGTCCCTTGGGTGCTTGGGATCCAAAACCCAGCTCCCCCCTTTAAAATCGCAGAAAACAGACTTATACCCGAGCCGGGGGCAGAAACACGATCGGGAACACGATTGTGTTTAGTCTTGTCCATTTTTAGTCCCACCCGTGTTTTGCATCCCTTCAGCAGTCTTCACAAGTGAGGCTCGGCATAAAAAACACTGGAAGGTGCCAGATGAAACACAGTCGTGCTTTGTGGAGAGCCTACCCGTGTTTCTTCATCCTAACCTATTCCACTGCCTTTGATGCTTCGTTGCTCCCTCGTCCAGACTCTGAATCAGTCACCGTTTGATCCCAGACGTTCGTAGTCTTGTCCTCTTTTTTTTTTTTTATGAAAAGCTTACATGATTCTATGTTCATAAAATGAGGTATAAATCCATTCTTCTTCAGGTCATGCACTTCTCCCCTCTGATTTACTTGAAACTCGCGCCTATGCTTCACTTTACATGCTAGGACCTGAAATGTGACAAAGGAACACAACCTAGCGTAAAATAGGCAAAGAAATCACAGACTCAAGCCAAAACGATCAAGAAATGAGGGTGCAAACATGTGCAAACACAACGTTATCACCTGTCCAGCCGTGAACTTGCCCGACATCCTGAACTCTATAGATAGGGGATCCCTTCCCTTTACAAGAGAGTTTAAATCACTTAGTAAAATTCTAGTTTTGAGAGATAAGTTAGAGAGAGAAGCTGAAGGAAGGAGGATCCAAGAAACTAAGGAGCTCCCCCCAACTCAAGTCTTCCTCTAATTCTTCTTATGTATCTTCTTCCCCCCTTTATGGGGTAGCTCTCTAAGGTACTAAGGGTTTAATCCTTAAATTATATAGTTATATATATTTTTAATATAGATGGAATTTTGTTAAGGTTTGTCTATGGAATTTGTTTGTCTAGTGATTATATGCTTCATCTATGATCGATTGGGCTTGGGCTTGTCTCTCCAACTTTTTTCATAGTAGTCTACCACTTAGGAGTGCGTAAATTAGATTGGATTTGAGTTCCTTTGCTAGTTAGGAGTAGATGAATAATTTAGGGGCCCGATTGGCTGACAAGGTGATCATCCCATGCCAAACGGGAAGTCCTCGTAGGCAATACTAGAGAGAGGTGTGTGTTACCATCGACATGTTGAGCTACTGTGCAGATAAGTTGAACCTATTGGAAGGGTCTAGGATGCATCCCTAGTATAGTGAACCTAATCGAGGTGACATTAATATTGGATCAGTGGATCTTGCTAGGAGGGGGCTAGTTGCATGACCATTGAGATACTCCCCACTTTAGCGAGTCTCGCACTTTATTTCCTCAAACCCGACATTATGAACCATTTGCATGATAAACCTAAATCTAAGGCAAGGGTGGTATTCCGATGTACCTGCTTTTATCTTTGCTTTCTCCACCAGTACTTTTCATTTGACCTCGAAGACAACCCTAAACCGAACGACTAGATAACAAGAAAGTGATATGTAGTCTAGAGTATCGAAACCCGTGGAATACGACCTTGGTCGACCACTATATTAACAATACCGTCTTGAGTTATACTTGGTTCGAGATGAGTTAGTTAATATAAGTCGTGCAATCAATTTAATAACCCGTATGGGGTCGCACCACATATATTCGTCCTTTATCATGTCAATGTATAAAAATAATACAAAATCCGCAACTAAAATCCAAAGTTCAATTTAGAAGAACATTAATGTCTATAGTATTCTTCACATTTATTTCATAAATAACTCATCATTTACTAGAAACTAAAAAGAGGAAGGTACAACTAATGATTTTGTTGATTCTTTAATTAAAGCGACATCTACGGGTTAGAACAACTTGATTGAATACCCATTATGGTTATCTTTTTGGATGTAACGACAAATTTGAAACAAGCATGAGAATTTTTCAAGATAGAGAAAGAGCATGAGAAGAAAAGTTGGCTAAATGGTTTTATCACCAAGCCATGTTAGATGACAAACATGAAAATCCACATATACATATGATGATTGAGGGGTCGTTTGGATGGGGCAATTGCTCAATGAGTCAATTGGGCAAATTGACTCATTTGAGAATTGATTCATATTTAGTTTGAGGAATTCTACCTAAATTGTCTCGTTTGGTTAGGTTTTGATAGTCTAGGCAATTCATTTTTGTCTTATTTGGAGAGAAAGTTGAAATACCAAATTGTCCTTCATTAATGATTATTTTATTCCCCTCCTTCTCCATACTACGGCAGCCATCTCCACAAAAAATGGTGTGTTTTGATTGTGTTAATATTTGGAGATAAACCTGCAATTTATAATAGAAACTAAGCTGATACAGGCAAAAAATGCTGTCACTATAACCTGCAATTTAACAAGCCATTCATAATAGATAACTCACAATACAAACATTAACATATGCTGCGATATACCATTTACATCATATAGCAGATTAATACATTCACCATGTGCAAATTACAACAGGGTTCTTACAAACTGTATAGCAGTTACAATAGGGTACTTACATGTGAATGCTAATTCTTACAGCTTGATTCATCATTTGAACTTTACAAAAAATAACCTGATGAAATGGATCATCCTCCATTTAAGTTATAGCTCCTAGGAAGCTAACCATACAACTTCACAAAAGAACATTCTGTCCTACATTTGCAAAGACTGTCATTGACTGTGCAAACAATGACAGATAGACAAAAAGAAAGGGCCCTTTGCAAACTGGACAACTACCTTACAACTTACAACCTAATAGACTTACTATACAACTACACAGCAGAAACCAATCACTCATTCGTCCTAGAGGAGGTCAAGAACAAGTGTGAGCTTGTCTTCATCCTTCTCCAGCTCATAGAAACACTTCAAGTCACCTGGATTATTGGAGAACTTCCTCACAGCAATGATCATTTCAGCTCTAGTCAGTCCAGCCATTTTTCCAAGTGCTTCGGCAAATCCTTACGCATGATGTTGTTGTCCTCACTCTGTCCCAAAGCCCTTGCAATGGTGTCCACAAACTCTTTAATAAGGGGCCTAAGTCCTCCCAATTCAGTACATACCTCACCAATGCACTCTTCAACTTCCCTTTTCTTCTTGTTCTTCTTCTTTTTCTGAGAAGGACCAGGTTCTGAAGTTGTTGCAGGGCGTTTCTTGTTTATGCGAGCTTCAACCCCATCATTGATGATATTCAACATTTCTTCATCCATATGGGTGCTGTCTATTTTGTCAAGATGGTAAGGTGGGCTGTCATCATCATCAGAGCTGTCATCTCCCACTTCTAATATGTCCGGATCATTACCGGAGAACCCGCCATCACCAGTTGCACGTCATTTCCCAAAAACGCCCCCTAGATCAAAGAACTGAGGGAATGGGACGCGTTTATATGTTTTGCAGTCAGCATGTGACTGTAATATATGTTCAATAACCAAGAAAACAAAAGAAGTTTAGGTATTAGAAGCGAATGCTAGAGTAAGGTAGGTAAGCAATTAAATGATAATCTGCCTCACCCTAACAAATCTAATTCTCAACTAACCATTTTAAACTCCTCACCTAACAAATTCAGAGGCGAATGAGGTAGTAGGATAAGTAACAATACCTTCAGAAAGTGGTCCCACACATCTTCAAGTGCATCTAGATAGAAGTGCTCCTCGTTCCACCCAAAACCACTTTGCTGCTTCATCATCACAGTTGAATGGTATCAGTGCTTCAGCTTCTTCACCCTAGTCTTAACAGCCCCCTTTGCCTTCAAACCACATCCAGGCACCAACTTTTCCATCATCCGCTCGATCTCCTTAAATACTCCATTCTTACATGTACCATCCTCTATCTGGCCCTTCTCTGTCAGCTCTAGCAGGCATCGAAGAAATGGTTCATCGTGTCTGGAATCCCAAAAAGTGTAAGTCCTAGGTACTGCATTGTCGTTGTTCCTTCTTCTCGGAGCCATGCCTGCAATAATGACACCAACTCCACCACATTTCAATTATTCATACAAGCAATTAATGGGAACATACGTACTATTAGGGACAAAAGCACAAGCATTATATATATACCAATAATACATATAGAAGCATTACACCATATTTCACTAATCCCAACAGTAGGGAATGGTTCCAAAACAGAGGCACTATTATATCCAAAATACAAACATAAATGTTGTAGCATCAGTACAACAAGTTAAAGGTGTTGTTCCAAAATTTTAAAAGTGCAACAAAAACACACAAGATTATGTTGCTAATGGAAAGGGAAAAGAGAAAGGGAGTAATATTCTGGTCCAACAGACAGAAAACAAACTATGATTTATTGGTGGATTAATTAGAAACACCCAATTAGGTTGGACTTTGTCATTTAATGGGAAGGAACAAGGGTAGAGTTCGCAAATTACAGCTTGTGAGAAAAGAGAGAAGGAACCAAAAGATTCATACTGACCGCATCTAAATCCCCAGGTAGATAGACAAATAGAGTATTCAAAGTAGTTCATCAAAATTTTTAGGGTTAATACGAGGGGTTTGGATTTGTAACAAGAATAAAATGGAGAAGGGTCTTCCATAATCACCGTACCTGGCTCAATCGTTGACAAGGAGAATCGCTGCACCTCGTCCTTCAAACGATCCCGAAGCTGCAGAAAGTTCACCGATTGATGATTGTCGCTGTAGACCTTCAGTCGCTGGCTTCTTCTTCCTTCAAAGGAGCAAGATACGATAGATAGGTTAAAAATGACAACAAAGAGAGAGGATAACAATTGAAGATAAACAAGGGCACTTATGGGTTTACAATTAAAAGCCAGGGACAAAAGGGGAACAAAAAAGCTAATAACGAGACAATCTCAATTACCTCCCCCACCACCAGGTAATTACAAATGCTTCATAATGGATCAAAGCAAATTTCCCCAAGCCCAATTGCTCCATCCAACTTTTTGGCATCCAAATGAGTTAATTAGGTCCAATTACCTCATTTTGAGACAATTGTATACAATTGATCCATCCAAAAGATCCATCCAAACGACCCCTGAGTTTTTTCTAATGTGAGTCTCAATGAATCAAAAGAGTTGTGGTGACCAATACATATCCTTCATAAAGAGATTTGAGGAAATATTTTTGGCTGTTTATCAAGGATAACGTGAAAAAGAATATATTCAAACTTCTGACAAACAATAAGATAATAAGAGTGTGATTAAATTTAATTGTGAGATATTTTAAGAGAGATACGATGAGGACTTAGATAACTTCTTGACTAATATCTATGTTTACTAACTTGAGTATGACGATACCACCTTTCATGGTGATTATGATCGCTAATTTTAATGATGATAATTATCATTAGATTGATGATGAAGTTGACACGTTCTCTTTTACTGAAGATGATCGCTCGATTAACAGGGACGGAGCCAGCATTTGAAAATAGGGGGGGCCAGAAATAAAAGATAATAAACAAAAGTAAAATAAATTATTAATTGTATTTTAACAGTGCACGACGTTCTTTAAGATCACTGAAATCACTCAAAATAGCGTCTAAACTAAAAGTTTCTGCAATCTCTCGCTCAATAAAGATAACTAAAGTATCAGCTAGAAAATCATCATTCATCTTGTTCCGCAGCCTGTTCTTCACTATCTTCATAGCTGAAAATGCGCGTTCTCCTATGGCAGTTGAAACCGCAAGAGTCAAAATAAGACGAATCAACCTATCAACAAGGTTAAATTCCTTTGACTTTCCTGTCACTGCTAAACCATGACACAACTCAGCAAGTGATGATAGATTTTGGAGTTTAGGATGAGTAGGAGCATCAGCATGAAAATGCTTCAATTCGAACTTCAAGTCATCTAAGTCCTTTTCTGAGAAATCAAGAGGGTAGTACTTCTCAGCAAGATCACAAATAGCACCAATGTTGAAAGCTTTATAACCATCCCGAGGATCCAAACTCGAGCTAAGCTTCAGGAGTTCAAGTACTTTGTCATCGAACCTTGCTCGTATTTCTTCTATCTGAACATCAATAGCAGCATTGAACACATCAAAATGATAAAAGTGCTCATTTGTGATACCATCTCGTCTTCGTCGACTTTCGTAATGTGGAGCACTAAGATCAGGAACATTGATATCATGTTTTTGACAAAACATTGTGACTTTTGCTAACAAAGAATCCCAATCTTCATTCCTCATTTGGTTCAACAACTTTGTAGTAGTCTCCACTGCTCTCATTGCATTTACAATGTCTTGAGACTTACGTTGCAAAGCTTTGCAAAGCAAATCTGTGGTGCTTAGTATCTCCTTCATCATATGCAAAATGAAGATGAACTCGAATGATTCCATAGTTCTCAAAGCTGTACTAGCATCCCCCCTTGTTTTGTAGTGAGCACAATCATTACTTATGTTCTCTAAAACACGGCAACTTGGACCGTACAAATGGATAAGGCTAGCCACAGAACTCAAATGTGAACTCCATCGAGTATCACAAGCTCGTTGTACATTCCGAATCTGATTGGCACCTTTTCATGACTCAATTTCACCTGATGCTAGCTTTTGATTCATTAAAGCATGACAGTTCCTCACAGCATTGTTGTGATGAGAATTTGGACTATCTCCAATATGCTTCCTGAAAGAACAATCTGCCCCACTCTTTACCTTTTTCCAATTCTGGAAGCCCTCGTTTGCAAATGTGTCTCTGCCAAATTGAGCATTTGGCTTTTCTGTAAAAAGATAGCATGGAAGACAATATGCAGCATCCTGTGCTTCTGAATATTCAAGCCAAGAGAATTCATAGTACCATGAACTTTGAAAGGGTCGAAGATCTCCAGGAGGCCCAGATTTAGGAAACTTAGGAAGTACAACTTGGTAAGGGCCAGCACTCCAATAATCCCTTCTTATCTCATCACGCCTATTAACTGGATATGTCCATATTGGTTGACGTAATCCAGGATCTCGTTCTAGAGAATCAGATGATGAATTGTCAACTCTCAAATTGATAGGAGACTCCTCATTCACATTCTGATTCTCAATAATAATAGGAGACTCCTCCTCAACTGTCGAGTTCAAAGCACCATGTACTCCTTCTAGACCAGCATCCCTTTTTGGTAACACACTTCTTTGAAAATATGAAGTAACCCTTTTCTGTTTGTTCATCATTTTTCCAGAATGGATGAAGCTGAAAACATTCACAATGCAAGTTAGATATCTACGCTACCAAACAAATTGTCAATAACAATAACTCAATTTTAATTATCAAATATCAATCACAGTATCATACAACATCAATTTTCTTTGATAAAAATAAATATTTGTGTTCTTACTGATCTGAATAGTTATTGGTTAAAGAAAGACAAACAAAACACATACTGATATGGTTCCGCAAGAAAAGCTGCTGTCTACCAGAGAAAAGGGAGAGTCGCCGGTGACGGGTCGTTGCAGAAGTCGGGAGCAACAATAGCAGCAAGCAGTCCGATCCTCAGGCAGAGTCGCCGCCTGCCAGAGATAAAGCAGCGAAAGGAGAAAGATCAAAACTTTGGATTGGAAAAGGGGTCGTTTCTATTTGGGTTAGGACTGCGATTTTTGTTCCGCAGCAGAGCACCGCCAACCAAAAAAAAGAAGCAGAAGGGTGTCAATTTGGAGAAGAGGAATCGATTTTGTCTGGTGTGGGTGGGGCTGGGATTTTTTGCTTTAGTCTAGGATCCATACAAGAATAAAAAACTCAAGTTAATTGGCATAGTCTAAAATTTTATTTGTTACGTGGTGGAGCTGTCCAAATGAATTGATTAACACAAAAAATTAAGTTATGAGAGATCGAACAACTAACCTCTTTCTTCCTTTGAATTATAGAATCAACACCATCACCACTATGCCACGAGAGTTTCCTTGTACAAAGTTACACCTATGCCTAATTATCTATTAATTCTTAAAATTTAGGGGGGGCCACCTTCCCCAACGTTGGCTCCGTCCCTGTCGATTAATGAAGCATATGGCCTTAATGATAACTATTGTTGGTGTCATTTTTACCATGCGGTACATATGAAAACTAGCTTTTGTTCTAATCGTTGGTCGGGATTATTATTGTTGATGGTTCTTTCATCCATTTTCTTTTTTTTATTGTTGTGAGTTTTTAATTCATACTTTAGTTTTCTTTTGTGTCTTGTTGTGATTTAGATTGTCCTTTTTGTCCAATCACTACACAAATTGCTTGTCTTTGTTGAGACATACAATCATATAAAACACAACATGTTTATACTCAAATTGCTACCGCAAAATGTAAAGAAGATTATGATAATAATAATATTTATAACTTATACTAACATAACTTAGAATGAAAAACAAAATTTAAGGTAAGTGTGATATTGTTAGAATTTTTTTAGTAAGTTTGATAAAATGGGAAGAAAAACCTCAAAACTCATATCTAGTACAACATTGAAGAGAAATGAGAACATCTTCAAAAGACAATAGCATAACTGGAAGAAGTAAACTAAGATATCGTAAAATAGGTATTTATCAATCGCGACCGAATATATTTCCAAACATTTATTTTTGTGACTCCAACATCACAATCACGTATCTACCATATTTAAACTATGTTCACTCTAATTGGAAATTCATAAAAGCAACTCGATCATTAGAACACTCTAAACTCTACTTGCAGGCATTAGTGAAGGTACATAATGACATAATCAAACATTCCACGGAATAAGTCAAACAACAAAAGTAAACATAAACTTATCTCCTATGGGCAGCAAGGGTAAGTGCAGCGCGTCCAACAAAAAACAAGTCAAATGATTGCCAAAAACTGCGCTCACTGATAATGAGAATCGATGTCATCTTCTTCTTAATTCGAGAGAAAATATTTAAGAATTTCACCATTATGGATATCATTTTCAACAAATTTATCATAAAAATGCTAGTCATCTTCATTTGGTCATGCTGTTTTTATCTCATCCATTGGTAGAAGTTTGAAAAAAAATACTTTTTCACTTTATCCCCGATGAACACCCGAAAATGTTGCCTTAAATAATTTTATGGAGGATACAGTTTGGTCACCATCTCTTTAAATTCATCATGATTCAATTAGGAAAGATTGTGTCATCATACAGTGTTGGTAGAGTCTCACGCTACTTAGCTAAGAAAGCTTGGGTGGCAAGCCAAGCCTTCCTCTCATGCTACTATTTTTTGAAAAAATTTCGTGTTTGTTTGAAGTTTGTCAATACAACCCGAGGAGAATACAACCAAAAGTTGTGCTCAGATAAGTTGTATCTTAACTTAGCCATCTGTCAAATGCAAAAATCAAGAAAAACGTAATCTGTAGCATTGTCACTCAAGTAGATGACTGATTGTTTCTGAATTGTATGACAAGACATATTCACGACATCTAGTCTTTTTAATCAAATTATTTCATTGTAAAAAAAATCAATTTTTTATTTAAACTTGAGCACGAACAAAATATTGTAGAGTAGATTTTTATTTTCTTTTCCTCTTTCATGTTTTAAGACAACACCAAGAGTAGATTGGTTACTGTTTAACCAAAATAAAGAAATCAAATTTCATTTTGAAACATATTAGTAAGAAACTAATAAATTAGAAAAGGCATACTCTATACGAGGGTTCGATTTGTTGGTAGGAAATAATACGGTAGCCCACTCGATGGCTAATAATGTCATTTTGTTATAATACAGTTTATTAAAAAAACCCATCTAATAATGCATTTTTTGTTACTTGAACTGTATTATAGACCAAGAAATGACATGAAATTTGAAATTATTCAAGATCATAATTATATTAAATATTTTGATTAAATTACTTATTAAATTACTTAATATGTACACCATAATGAGTAAAGTTAATAATTAATTATATTTTGGGAAGAAGTACACTATAAATAAATGAAAGAATGGTGAATTTAATAATTAAACTACTTAATTATTAGCATAATTATATAAGAATTAAAATGATAAAAAAACACAAGATATGTATCAATCTCCTTTCTTTCCCAAGGTTGACATTTCATCAGACTTGAACCACTTCTTGCCAAACTGCAACGAAAAAAATAAGAAAATTAAATATATGAATATGATATAACTTGTGTTTCTCATGTCATAGAGGAATCTAGAGAGTGAAAAAAGTAAATTTTTTAACAAATGAGTACGTGGTTGGGTGAGTGTGTGTGATGAAAAATATACCATGTCAACCTCTCTTTCTTTCAGCCTCTAAGGGGTACCTCTTCAATGAAGCGCTACATGAGTACAAAAATATCCCAATCAAAATCATTATCATGTTGCGAAACCTGGCAAAAATTGTGATTTAGGAATGAGAAAACATACATGAGCTGCATCACTACCAATACTAGAATCGAAATATCATATGAAAATTCCAACTCGCCGCACTTGTTTATCTCTAGTTTTCAGGGACGAAATTTGCGAAGACTCTTCCATTGTGCGAGAGAAATCTCATGAAACAGATCATAATTTTGATTATCTAAGTAACCCCATTCTTATTCCAAAAAACTACCTATTGATATGAAAATGATAAGAGGAAATGTTACTAAATAGCTAACTAATTATGATGCGACAGATCCTTGAATTATTTTAAAAGTTAGTAAGGATTGAGATCAAAGGTGATTTTAATCTCACTTAGAGATATCATCCAAAACAACTTTGCTAGACTGGAGGTTCAAGCACCAGTGAAATGTGTTGGGGTTTGTGCTTTCCTTCCCAAATCGCCCTTCCACCTCTTTTCTCTCGTCATGGAACATGGTGTTAATAATCATGGAACCATCATCTATAATTTTTTTTTACCTTCACTGTTCATAAAAACATTCTTTCATCTTTATTGTATAACTTCTCATGCATTTTTTGTAGTGATTGGATGACGGAACACACATTTCAGCAACTTCATCATAAAACTGTTGGCAATCATCATTATCACTAAATTAGTAGGCACCAACACAATATAAAGAGACTCCGCCACCATATTCATAAGTAAACATGGTATCCAAGTTATCACCAACATCTCTCCTAAAATATATGTATAGTGATTAGTCACGCTTTCTTAACTCATGGGTTGGTAAGAGCTTGCAATTTTTTTTACTCCATCCTTGATAAACACTAAAAAATATTGCACATATATTTTCTCAGAGGCTACAGCTTGGTCACCATCTCATCACGATTCACATAAGGAAAGATCAAGTTTTCATAAGGTGTTGGCGAGCCTCATGCTTCTTAACCAAGAAGGCTTGGGTGGCAAAGTGTTTAAGTCGTGCTTGTTTCAAGTTCGCCAATACAGCGGAATAACCCAAGCAAAAGGCGTGCACAGTCAAGTTGCACCTCAATCTAGCTATTTGTCAAATGAAAGTTGAAAAAATCACAATCCATAACATTGTCACTCAAACAGATGTCAAAATTTTGTTTTAGCTATATGTCAAACAATATTCACTACACCATTGGTCTTCAGAATATACTTTCCATTTAACATGAGCATGAAAAGTATTCCAGAGCTTTGAGTAACTCTTTGAAGTGTTTTCTATTCTTGGGCCTTAATTACTCTTGCTACCCTTCCCTTCGCTCTATTTTCTTTAAATTTTTACAACCTCTCTATTGAGCTTGATATAGGCTTCAACATTGTAAACTTCATGTACTTGATTTTCGAATTTCCAGGTGTTGCTGTGTTCAATTTATTTTGAAAGGATTCCACTTGTTCTTGAGAAGTACCAATCCTTGAGTTGCAGCCCAAAGTGTTTCATGATAACATGTAGATGTGTCAGACATGGTTGCACTTACTAAAAGTCTACAACAAAACAAAGCAATAAAAGGTAAGCCAAGTATTTTAAAAAATGCTGATATCATATTCTTCACAATTCGAGAAACCATCTTCAATAGCTTCACCCTTTGAGGGAAAATTTTCAACAACTTTATCATAAAATTGCTGGCCACCACCATCATCGTATTTATAAGACAACATGTTATCCAAGTCCTCACCACCATCCTCCTTACAATATAATATATTACAATTGAGTCACATTTTTTATCTCATGATCTGTTAGTACTTGGTATATACAAGGTTGAAGAAAAATTCTTTGTTTTTTTCCTTGATAAACACATGGAAACGTTGCCTCAAATCATTTCCCAGATGCTGCAACTTAGGTCATCTCTTCAAACTCATCACAATTCACATTCGAAAGATCGATCTTTCATACAATATTGGTGGAAAGGCCAAATGTTTCTTCCATTTTCTTTTGTTGTGTTTGTCTTAATCATATGTTTCTTAAAATACTTCATGTTGTTACTCAAACTAATACCACACACTACAAAAAAACGAGTCTTTAACGAGGGGAAAAATTCACGATGGTATAGAAAACGGTCATTAAAAGACACTCTTTAATTGAGACTTGATTATTAATGACGGTCTACTATTTCCCCTCGTTATTGTCTAAGAATTACCCTCGTTATTAACCCAAGACACTATAACGATGGGCCTATACCGTTGTGATGACATTCACTGAAAATTTGGAAAGCCCGCCTACTTATTTTGGCTTGGCGGGTTGCTTTTCACTTTCAGATTTTCAATCGGAAAAGCCCGCCTAGATAATTGTTAAAATAATATAAGGTATTAAAGCTCTCTAACTTTACCAAATCTCACTCTGGCTTCCATAAGAAAAAGCTTTCCTACCTTGTTTCTTCATCTTCTCCCATCTTCGCCTAGCAACATCATCGACAGTGCAGCTCTTCAACCCGCTACTCACACATTCCTTCCTCTGGTATTATTTCTTTGCCAACTCACTGTATCTTCTAGTTTTAGGGTTTCGTCTTTATGCTAGGGATTTTCACTATTTCTTTCTCTAATGAAAAGAATCAGCCTCAACTCATTATCCAAATCTTGTTCTCTAACGCTTTTTGCTGTTAATTTTGTTGTTGTTGTATGCAGCGGTCTAATGATTAGGTTGTCTTTTTCAATCTGGTTTATGCGGACTAGGTTAATGTATTTGCACAAGTTGTTGTTCCCCAGCCGAACTTCCTGAAGTTAAAGCTAAAATAGGCAGAGCATTCTCTCACCTAGTTTCTCAATATGGCCAGCTAATGCAACCACTATTGATTAACGTATCATCTTAACATGCTAATGCTTTAGCTTCATTTACCCCTAGAAACTGATACGTAAAAGATACGCCAAATTGGCTTAATTCTTTATTATTTTCACCTTCAGTTAGTTCAGTTTGCACATGTGCTTGGCTTCCATCCATGGAAGTGGGACGCTTGCTTTTTACAAGGCCTAGACTCTGCTATTTCTTCAGTTTGCATACTTATTCATCAATTTGCTTTCCATGGCATTCATTTTTCCACATCATTGTGATTCGCCGGTTTTTGTTTCGTGTTGTTACATGCCCGTGTAATTCTTTTATGGGTCAGTTTACAGAGTCATCTAAACGGCAGGTGTTCAATTGAATTGGTAGTTCAGTTGAGGAGAACTGAGATGTTAAGAGCTGTGTAGGAAAAAATGGGAGAAAAGGTTTTGAGCCTTTATACACAAAACGCAATTTGTTCTGTTGTTTTCATATAGTTTCAATACATAATTCTTTGTTGTAGGCATTGGTATAATGGTTAGGTTGTTTACCTTTATATACTAAAGTTATGTATTAATTGTTTGCTTGTAGTGGCCTTATGTTGGGGATACTTTGAGTGTAGGTAAAAATGAAGTCAAACAAGGTTTTTGATGCTTCTAAAAGGAACAATGTGAGATTCATTCAACCAAGTGCTTTGAGGAAAAATGTAAGAAAGAGGCAGTCATTTGAAAATTTAATTTCAACGGATGATGCTATCAATCATAGAACCATGGATAGCAGAGTTTCGTCTAGAAGAGCACATGGTGCAAGGACATCTTCAGGTTTGAACTCAAGTACAGAGTTCTCTCTTACATTAGCAAATCTATATCATCGTATCTTTATTTATGATGGGACCAATTTTCTCTCATGTTATATTTTCAGTAGACACTGAGCCTATTGCTGGGAACAATGAAGATGAATTTTTCATGTATGGTGAAGGAGCAGATGGACCAGAAAGTGGTGAACCACTTATACAACAAGATTTTACTGGTTAGTATAGTTAATATTCTTTCAGTAAAAGCCTCAAGTTATTAAAAGTACATACTACTCAAACTTGTGGAAATGGCTAGAAAATGCTCCACCATATTATGTATACTGTGTCAGTTTTTTCCTAAGTAAGATTTAGTTACATTGTGATTCAATGGTCTCTTAAACATCCAAGAATGATAATAGCAATAATAAAACATTTACATGCTTCTAATGGTACAACAGTTAGATGTACCTTGCCATTGTTCATGGTAAAGCTATATATATAACAAGTGCACTGTGTAAATTTCATACTCTGCTTTGATTTATTATGCAGAACCTGAAGTGGTCAAAAAGAAAAAAGTGCGAAGCAAAAACAAGTGTAAACGTGTAGGTAAACTCAAAGCCGGAGAGAAGTTGCCAATAGTGTTCTTCCTCAACGGTCCTGTTGGGGTGAATCGCAATGAATTCACGAGGTATTTGGGTAAATTGGTAACTGATAATACCATTTGCCCAGTTCGTGTTCATAGTTGGGGAGAAATGGGAAATGATGTTGAAGATCATTTGTGGGCAGCTGTGAAGTTAATTTACTTAAACCATTATTATTATTTTGTTTGTATCAATGAAATTTGAGTTAGTAACTAATCTGATATAGGGATCATATTTTATTTAGTAATTAATATGCTGGGAAATGCATAACTCTCACTTTTATGCAGGAGAAGTTTACAAACCCTGAAATGGAGGCTTATAGGGGTCATATCTTCAAGAAGATGGTCAAGGCATGGACCAACTATAGGTCCGACCTCAATCTGAAGTATGTAAAACCTTGCCAATCCGTGGAAGATGCTATTGAAAATGTGCCTTGTGGTATACAAAAAGATGACTGGGAATGGTTGGTGACAGAACATTACTTGATTGAGGAGTTTAAGGTAAACCATATGACTAAACTTTAATAAGCTTTGTCATTGTTATATCTAATGACTTACTGTTTTACTTGTAGAAAATAAGTGTTAGAAATGCAAATAATAGAGCTCAAGGATCAATGCCTTGTCATCTTGGAAGCATGTCTATTGGAGAGCTCACATTTCAAATGGTATTTCATTCACTTAGTATTTGCCTCCTATAATTTTAATTTCACTCACTAAAGATAGCAATACCTGTGTGAATCAAGATTGAGGAAACACAAGGATAGTAGTGATAAGCCTTTATTCTTGTTGTCTGCTTTTGTTGTTCTGTTTACTCTTTTGCACTCCTATTTTATATTGTTTATTAGTTTTGCTTTCTTTTCACCTGGGTTCACATCTTATGACAATGGTTGCGAGCCAATAACATTCGTTTAATTTATACAGACAGACAAAGAAGGAAACATGCCAAGTTTCATAAAAGTTTTCTCGTGCTCTCGTAAAAAAGGAGGAGCAATTGATCCCAAGTCAGCTCGAAAAGAGGTACACTGAGTTTTCCTTTATGTACTACACAACTTAAACTTGTATATATGAAGCTAATATAATGTTTTGTACTTTTATATAGGCAGAACTTATTGAAACCATGCAGCAGAATCCTGGAATTAATGGTTTAGATCTGGTGGAGAAATGCTTTGGGCCACAAAAGCATGGTGGTATACTTGGATATGGAAGTGGGATAACACCAAAGGATTTAAGGACACCAAGAAATGAAAAGAATCCAGAGGTTGAGGCTCAACTTCAACGCAGTGAGGAAGAAAAGGCTGCTCTAGAAGAGAAAAATGCATCCCTTGAAGCTGAAAAGGCAGTTATTGCAGCTAAGAAGGAAGCACTATTTCATCGTTTAAATAACATGGAGTCTAATTATATGGTTGAGTTAAGGAGCTTGAGAGAAATGGTCATGCTCCAACAAACCACTTGGAGTTCGTTGCACCGACCACATGACAATCATAATCAATATATATAATCAGGTTTGTTTTTATTTTCTCAACTAATTTGGCTCTCTTTGAAATTTTGATCCTTTTCAATACATGTTAAATAATGCCTAATAGAAATGAACCAAGTTTGGACTAATAGGATCCTTTGATTTCATTAGAAATATACTAATAGTAATCAGGACATCGAGTATATAAGAGTGCAGATTATGAATGCACACTTTTTGATTAAACATGTCTTCCCTAGGATACATGTGACTATGGATGAGCTATTTTGCTTTACTAAGTTGTGGCCTCTTGTGACATGTGAGCAGCAAGAAGTTTTAAGTTTATGTTCGTGGCTTATGTGTATTGCAGGAAGTTGCTACTTTTATTTTTATGCTTGGACTGAAGTTGGTTTTTTTTTTTTTCTGTGAACAGGTGTTCATATGTTAATGAATTTCAATGGACAAGGAAGCATCCAGATTATCTATATGCTGGATGGTTTTTGTGCTTTTATGCTTCAAGAACGTGTGAAGCTCATATCTCTTGTCCATCATTTTGAGATGAAGTTCAAAAGTAGAAATTGTTAGATTATTATCTAATTCTATATTGAACTATATCAGTGTAAAGATTTTTAACTTCAGTTCGTACTAGTGAAAAGTATTTCATTCTGTTATGTGTCTATATATGCATACCAATGGGATATTCATTTATATTAGAGCAACGATATGATCATTCTACATTGTTTATTAATTATGAGGGGGATTCAGTTATTTTATTACTTATAACGACAAGATATCCATCAAAATTCTTCATTAATAATGAGGGGATTCAGTTACTTGTCCACAAATAATTAGCGGTCGGCATTGCTCATAATTCCTTTCATTAAAAGTTCATCTTCAACGACCGGAAGGCACTCCTCTCGGCAAAACTTTCTACGACCGGTTACAAATTTCCCGTCGGTATTGACTTTTACCGGCAAAGCCAACAATGAGGGTTTGAGTCCTGTCGTCAATGATTATTGCCGACGGTTTTTGTATCATTAACGACCGGATTCACCTCACGTTAAAAGCTATTTTTTTTGTAGTGACAAAATGTAAGGTAGATTTATGTCGATAATAGTAATAATTTTATTATAATATAACATAGAATGATAAATAATTTTTTTCTCACATAAATACATGACAAACATAGATGTTCATTACTAAAAAATAACAAATTAATTAAAGTAAAACAAAATGCAGTAAATAAGATACAATAAAAATAGAGGGAGTTTAAAGTAACATAGGCCCAAATAACCGTCGATGAAGATGTTGCGGTGAAAGAGGTTGAGAGGAAAATTTGGCTAAAAGGCATTGTCACCAAACCATGTTGGATGAGAAGATTTGGCTAAAGTAACTCCTAACCCTAACATAAAAACAAGAAATCAGCCAAAACATACTGAAAATCAGAAGGTAAAATAAAATTTGTCAGGAAAATTCAAGTCGAGTATCTAGTATAGTGATACAACCGGCCCTTGGAACTTAATTTGCGGCTTTTCCTTTCCTCTCTGTAACTTAACTATTCTTTCCCTACTGATAATACTTGATGTTATCTCTAATATATATATGGTTCAGCCTAACGTACACCTGGCGTACGCTATACGCCTGTGTTTAGACTTATTTATTATTAATCATAATTAAATCAATTATTAATAAAAATCATAATTAAAACTACACCTATTAATTTAATTTCATATACGATTTAGTCCAAAATCATTTTTTTATCATCATTATACTTAAACCAATCATATAAGTATCCAACGTAAGACTTATGAGAAATTTTACAATGCTATATAGTATTTGTGTTATAGGTTTTTGTCTTTATGGTACAACTTAAAATTGTACATTTACGTTATGGTATAACTTTAGATTGTACCTATACTTTTTGTACAAATTCTTTTATGGTACAACTTAAACTTGTACCTTTATGTGATGGTACAACTTCAAGTTGTAAAGTTGTATCATATCATAATGGTATAAATTGTTTTATGGTACAACCTAAACTTATACATTTAATGTTATGGTACAACTTTGAGTTGTACATTAAAGCACCAATACTATATAGCATAGTAGAAGTGCTCAAGACTTATAGTAACTTAACTTTTTGCTAATCATGATTTATAACATACAAAATTCTGATTGCAAAGAAATAGTCCAATCGTCCTTTGTAACAGACTAACAATCCATCCAAGTTCATTTAACTTCTTCTTTCAGAATGCACTACTAAACCCTTAAACGACAACAACCTTGCATTCATCCCCTACCTCTTTCCATTTCCATCCTCTTTGTTCTTCTCCTTGGTCTTCGTTGTCACGAGGGAGACTGCATCTAGTCTCCATCTCGACTGGTCTCTCTAGGTTCTAGGGTTTTTGAGCTGGATCTCTCGCACTCTCGCAGGAAGGATCTCGTCGAAAAGAGAACCAGTGGAAGTGGGAAGAGCGGAGGTCGATGACATCGTCGTCGGTCCCCGGCACCGCTGGATTCTTGCTACCAGTCGAAGACCTTGGAGCGAATCTGAAGCGAAGTGTCGACTTCGCCGGCAGTGCCCCGGAGGCTAGAACCGAAACGTACCGCTCTCATTGACCGGAGCTGGAGTCGCCACCGGAAGCTCCTACTATCCTTCCCCTAAAATCAACTACCTGTTGGGAATCCTGGCAACTCAACAGTGGAAGAAAGCTCGGAAGTTGAGAGTCACCGCCGTTGATTCTTCGTCCTGTCACCACCGGCGTTGATTCCTCTTCCTCTATTTGGTGAGCTAACAAAAGTAAATTGATATGGGTGTTATAAATTGAACCAGTGACAAAAGAAATTGAAGTTGTACATGATTATACGTTTAGGTGTTATACATTAATAATTTGGGGAAAAAGTACTATAATTTATATGATTATCAGTTAAAGGATTGAATTGGCAGAATGTAGGATAAAAATTGATACGGCAGTAAAACATACATAACAATTAATGAAGGTATATAATTGTAACCATATTTATTATTAATAATTAACTTAATTATAATTCAATAATAATTAATTAACAGGTGTGAACGCAGGCGTATAACATACGTCTAGCAAGAAGAAATTGATCAAAACCTCAACAGAAGTAACGTTTTTTGTTGGAGAAGTGCCCGATTAAAGAGTAGAATGACTTAATTACTTGCACACAAAACCTCAACTCTTATTATACTGATTCTTACTTGCAAGTTGCACGGGTGATTCTGGGAGAATAATTAATTAATTATGGGACTGTCAGATTAGGTTTTATTTTAGTCAAAAAGCAAAAGCTACATCTAAAACCTAGTGATTAACAAAGGAATAACAATTCAGTATGTGAACATCGATCAAAATCATAACAGAAGAAACGTTTTAGAGGCAGTTTAAAGAATGTAATGGATTGCTTGTAGTGAACCTCAGAGTTTTTGGTGTCGAATCTTACTCTTACTCACACGAAGGATTAAGAGTAGTTTAGTATTTAATTAAGTTTAGTCAATTAGGACTTCGAGTTAGAGTTTATACAATGTACTTTAGCTCTATGGTTAGTGATATCAATGAACAATCTATCAAAGTATCGTCAGAAGTATTCCCTATTATCTTTCACGAACCCTAATCTCCAATTCTAAATCATCTAATTCTGTTCAATTCTTCTCTTTAAATTCCTTTCGAAACTCTATATTGTTACGTTACAACAGGCTCTCGCATGTGTGATTAGATAAGGAAAATGGGTTCTTAGTTTGGTTGGATCAAGTGATCTTTGTAACGAGATGATTAGTTTATTAGTTATTAGATATCATTATCATTATTCCTATAGGTGTTTGATTAACACTCAAATCATCATCACAATTGAGTGTTTGATTAACATGGATTTTAATAGAGGTCCACATAAATTGGTTTGGATTCTCAAATGCTTTGAGTTTAGTCAAAATATTGGAGCTTTCTTATCTGTAAGCATTCTCCAATTGTATTGGAGCTTTCTTATCGGATGAACAATGAAAACGTACTTTTTCCCCACGAACTTGACAAACCTTCAATTGGGATTCTCCATCAGAGACTCAATAGGATCAGCATACTTCTTAACAGCTTCCATGACTTGAGTGACATCCCATAAAACAATCTCTAAAGAAGATCAGATTCAGCATATGCTTCAAGAGCAAAATAGTTTGACATTGAACATACTTGGGATTCACTAACAAAATAGTTCGGCAAGCCGCAAGTGCTTTTGTACTTGTTTCAACCGAATACTAGAAAAGTTCTTACAACCTAACCTATGTCTAAACTCGATAATGCGTCCAGTCAAACTCAGTATCGAGGCCATCTTCTTCATCCGAGGGCACATCTTCAACATTCGGTGGACCATCTTCACTAGCCACGTCATAAATATGTTGGCCATTATCATCATCATAAGACTGATGGTCACCAGCACCATGGAACGAGACATCATCGCCATATTCATATGCCAACAGGCTATCCAAATCTTCAGCAACATCTCCCTCAAAATATAACACATCTCGATTGAGCCACGCTACTTTTATCTCATCGGTTGGTAGAAGCTTTAAAAAGTTCTTTTTCACTTTATCTCCAACGAACACTCGAAAATGTTGCCGCAGATCTTTTCCCAGAGGGTACAACTTGGTCACCATCTCTATAAACTCGTCACGGTTCACATCGGGAAAGACCGAGTCATCATACGGTGCTGGTGGAGTCCCACGTTTCTTAGCGAAGTTGAATTTGAAGACAAAGTGCGTTAGCCAAGTCTTCTTCTCCTGGTCATTCTCCTTCTCGAAAAAACCTCGTGCTTGCTTCAAGTTAGCCAACACAGTCCGGGAATACACCCAAAAGTCGTGCTCGGGCAAGTTGTACTGCAGCCTAGTCATCTCTAGAATGTATGAATGAAGAAAGTTATAATCCGTAGCATTGTCAGTCAAACAGATGACGGGCTCATTCTGAATTGCATGCCCAAGCATTTTCACAGCATCGACGGTCTTCTTAATCGATTTATCCATTGTAGCGTGCGGACGAACGGAGTAGCCCAGAGCCTCGCCGCCAACATCTTGCCGGAGTCTTTTCCACGGTTTGGGATTGACTACTCTTACCACCCCATTCTCTTCACGATGCCTCCTTGCAATCTGCGCATCCTCTTCATCAACCTTGACATGGGCTTCAGCTTTGCCAAGTCCCTTGCACTTCAATTCCAAATTTTCGGGTTTTGCTGTGTTCAATTCATTTCGAAGGGATTCCAACCCTTCTTGTGAAGCAGCAAATCTTCCGGTAGCACCACGAAGTGGTTCACCATAATATGTAGATGCATCGGACATAGTTTCCCGCTGGGATTTTCTCATCTGTCGCTCCTCTCCCATGATTTCAATGGCAACCCTGAGTTTCCGCCCTCCGTCTGGCAATTTACGACCAACATTCTCCAAAATTCTTTGCTGCCTCGCAATCAAACCCTCCAGCTCCCCTTCAGCCATTTTAGCACACTCTTTCCTCATCCTCGAGGACCAGCTATCATCGCCTTCAGTGGCCATCGTAGACGGGGGTGCTCTACAGCTGATTGAGTTTAAAGGTGGCATCGGAAACAAAAACAGAAAACGATAAGCCAAGTATTTCCCCAAATACTAACAGCAAACCCATGCATTCATATTCAACACAGAAACTCAAAAAAATTCAATACTTTGGTGAATCTATAGTTGACTAGTTCACTCGGAAAGCTATGGCTTTTTTCACATGTCTAGAGCCGTTGTAGAAACAAAATGAACATGCTAACATCCCATGCCCAGAGCATCTATTAAAATAAAATGAGCATGTAAATAAT